CTGGTATGACGGATTGTAAAGCAAAAATACTACCAAGTTCATTGTTACCCTGGAGTTATTTTGTGGTGAAGCTGTAACAGAGGCGTGTTTGTACCCCCTTCCAGCAGTGATGCACACAGGTTGATGTGTTTTGATGTGGAAGCTGAAGGCTACAGGAGCTCACAGCCTATTTTAGCTGTCATAATGATTAGGTCACACTATAGTCAAGCTAATGAATGTTGTCACCTAATTTAACTTCTTATTTCTTCTCCAAGGACGTAGGGTAACAGTTTTACACCGACACTTTCCATTATTCCTGTTCAATGCCAACGTGTTGTATTCGGCTGTGTTGGAAGGAGTAATAGAGTTGGGGACAGCATAGAAGAGCGACAGAGCGAGAGATCTAGCTGCTGAAAATGATTGATAGTCACGGTTTTGGCATTCTCGTCTTCATCCTGCTTCTTGCGAGTGGTAAAATTGCTCTTTTTTGTTTCTGATGATTTCTTTTTTTCTTTTCAATTCTGTCTGACGCAACATGGTGGGTCTGTTGCTCTACGGGTTCTGAGGGATGCCTACCATGCATACTGAAACAACAAAATAGATCATCAGTTTCTTTTTAGGGTGCATATTTCCTTTAAGGATATCAATAATGAATTCATAACGAGGCCGTTGTGTTTCAAGCTTTGGTTGAGATTTGTTCACATAGAAATATTTATGCTGAGATGTTAAAGCCTACTAACAACTTGGATCCAGCTGACAGTATTTCAAAAGATCTTAAGGAAGATCTGGGTATCATTCTTTCTTTTTCTTTCTCCCAATATTGGTGTTATAGTTGAATGCCCTTTGTTTCAGTAAAGAAGCTAAGACATTACCCTTTTTCTACTCTGATTAATGTAAGTTTAAACACTATTTTCTATAAAAACCATCAGCAATATAATCCAATCTTCTCAATGCTTCTGTTCGTTGTTGCCGCAACACTGACAGGTGTCCAGGAAACTGTAAGAAATACAGAAAAGAAAGAATTTGGTGCCAAGTGTTTTTGATTTGATTGCTGCTGGAGACAATTATGAGAGCACACAAACAATATTGAGGCTGGAAACCCAGTCCTTTTGGCACTGCAGATTGTGCCACAAACCTAATATTTTAGGAACAAGACTTGTTGGAAGCAGAACTGATATTTCAGTGATTGAGGATATTGTATCAGCCTGAAGGTCAAAGCACAGCATGGCTGCCGGTTTTATGCAATGTAGCCAAAAGGAGATATCTTACTGCAAAGAAAAAGCTGCTATAGATTTGCATGCAGACTGACTGAGACCAGGATTACATGTTCCCAGGGAATACCATCCACAAACACTAATTAGCTGTAAGCTCAGAGTATTGTCTGTGGGGAGAAAGGCAGGATGTGTCTTCAGTTGGTGGGTGGCATCTGCTGCTAGACAAGGAGAATTTGAGCGCTGATCATCTAAAGTGAGATTCATAACTCGTAGCAAAGTCATCTGTCAGAACACCAAAACACATTTCACTCAAATCAACTGTCGCCGTTCTTTTTTTTTTGTCTGTGGCAAATTATGCAGCAGTCTGCAATATGTGTGAACTGAGTAAATAAAGTTTGGTTCAGTCGGAGTAGTTTTAATAATTGATTGACCCTTTTGAGAGCTGGACAGACTGGGTACCACAGTTTCTCATTTAGAAGAAAGCACTGACTACTTAATAGAGCTGCAACAATTAGTCGATTAGTTGTCAACTATTAAATTAATCAACTATTTTGATAATCCATTCATCGTTTTGAGAAAGACATTCTCTGATTTCAACTTCTCAAACTGGAACATTTTCTGTTCTCTGAATATCTTTTGGGTTGCGGACAAAACAAGATATTTGAGGACATTACTTTGGGCTTTTAGAAACAGTCATCAACATTTTCTGGACCAAACAATTAATAGATCAATCGAGGAAATGATCAACAGATTAATCGATGATGAAAATAATCATTAGTGGCAGCTCTAGTAGCTAAGCGAGGAAACTGGCAGAAAGAGCAGTGTGGACATACAAGTGCATGACTTACTGAAACACTACAATGACAGTTATGAAGCAATTTACAGTAAATAACCAAACAAACATCATTGCGAATATTTAATTAGAAAAAGCTGAATGGGGATTTGGGAGCCTAGAGGTGTTTATTTAGCCAAAAAAAGACTCCTTTTTCTCTCCACTTTTCAAATGCCAAGTTCAGTAAATTCTCTCTTGCTGAATAAGAAAAATATATCTTTAAACCAATAACCAATGCCAGACAATGAAAATATCATAATAAAACCCACATTGATCAAAATCTCTATCAGTTTTTGATGGAAGCACATTCACACGCAGTGAAGTAGACACACATTATATCTGGCTAAATTACATTAAAGTCTGATTTTCCGCTCTCTTCCACTTTGAGGAAACTTCTAGTTCAATAAATTTAAGTGAAACTCTCTTGGATGTAGGTTTTCCACAGTCAGGGCTCCACTGGTGAAGGCTGTAATTGTCTGATTCTTCACATTATTCTGCTGCTGCTGCTGTGGTCTGCTGGGTTCACAAGGGTAAAAGATTATTCCCCAACCATCTTCCTTTTTCTTTTCATCATTCAGACAGAAATAGGCGCTTATCAGGAGAGACTAAAGACGTCACTAAATACAAACTGCCAGCCTCTAAAGTTAACAAGCTGCAAATAAAAAGAGGTCACGCTGGAAATGAAATGTGTATGTTTGTACAAATCACTCTGTCTCTCTTGAAGGCAAAACACCAGCCTTAAGAGCGGTTTTCTGCCAACGCCAACTAGGGAATTAAAAGATCAGGCTGGGAGAGGAGGCAGGTTGGTGAGATCGGGTTTCCTGGAGACATGGTATTAATTCCCAAAGGCCTCTGCATTAGCACTTCCCTCTGCTAATACTGTACACATAACCGGGATGGTAACCTCTTGTACAGGGCTGAAGCCTGGGAATTGTGATGCCAATATTAACCTTTTATATACTGAAATATGACATTTTCAATAAGTTTTCATCCTGAAATGGTGGCTCAAAGTTAGTATAAGTGTCACTGACATGGAGTGCAGAGTCTTTTGAGTGAAAGCAGGAGGCTTAACAAACAGCTTCATCTGATATCACAGCCTCTGTTGCTGAAGTCAGACTGCAGAGGAGCATTCAGCAGGTGGAATATCAAGCGCTGAAAACCGATTAGGAATCAACGTCCTACAACAATGCGTACATACAATGCATGTAATGCCTCAAACACAGGGCTCGAAATTAACTTTTCTCCTCACTGTCCCGCAACTGTCCCGAATTCTACTTTCAGCTGTCCCAGATTTATCAACCACTGTTCCAGATTGAAGTTCTTTTTTCATTCTACATAATAAATATAGTTGTTTCAGTAACCTGTATCACTTACCTAATGTGTTTGGTTGTAATCTATTTTCATTATTCTTTTAGTTACTGGTAAAGTTTCTTTTTCTTGTTTTAATCAAACTGTTTGATCAATAAATGCAAACCTCTTTCTGATTAGAAATTTACATAAACATTATAAACATTTAGCCAAATAATCACAAACCAACTACAGGGATATTTGAAGCGAATCTATCTATCAAGGCAGGGAGAAGATCAAACAAAGTCTTTAATATTCACAAGATATAGGAACACTTTAATCCAGAGATTCAGAGAGAAAGAGTGAGAGAGAAGCTCAAACACACCATACTGACTACCTGTGCACGGCACAGAGGATAGGAATGAGCACCATGCATAGGAATGAATTACAATATAATACATTTAAATTTGCTTATTGCCTTTTCCTTGATCATCTTAATACGTTACTGAATTTGTTGCTAGCTCCATTAAAAGGGGAACTTGGCGTTTCGGGGGTTATAAACCCGTTTAAGAGAATCATTTGGATTGGTGCAACCATGGCCGTGTTCGGTGAAAATGGTGGACCCCCCCACCCCCCTCAGGGCGACCCCAGGCGGAAAACCAACCTTCGAACTTTGGGGACTACCGTTCCCGGTAACTTTGGACATAGGAGTACGTCGCGGAGAAACGAGAACGAGCGAGAAACGCGAACGCTTACGCGCAATTCCAGCATAGAATGCGACACGCCGGCCCTCAGGATAGGATGGTTAGTGTATAATGGTGAAAAAAGGCACACTCATCAGCGGTAGATAAAGGGGGAGGAGGGTGCGCAAGTGAGTTTTTTTTTCTACAATGTGTTGGTGAATACACGTCCAGAGCTGTAGGGGGAGCTCGTTGACAAAAGCAGTGCGATGACAAAAGTTGCCAAGTTCCCCTTTAAGAAGTAAAGTCGGGTCTAAAAAGTTGTTTCGAGCAAGAAAGCTGGCAACTCTCTCTATGATTGATTTGTGCTCATGCTGGTGCCACCTCACAGTTTTTCAAATTTGCACACCTAACAATCAAAATGACACATATTCCATAATGCATAAACATAATAATAACAATACATTTCTCTTCTGTCCCAAAATTGTCCCAGACACTGTATCTCTGTGTCCCAGGTGCTATTTCATTGTTCCCAGGACAAAGGGACATCCTTCATTTTGAACGCTGCTCAAACCACCAAATACAACTGGACTAAAACCTCACTGAAGTGGCTGCATGCAGCATAGTGTTGAGTCTTCACACCACTGTCTGAATCTGTCAGGACCATTTATTTGCTCTTATTCGCTCATTGCAAGTTACTGTTATTGTTTTTGCTTCGTTTTACTTCTTCTAGATGTATTCAGGTAGTGATGTTAATGGGATCAGTTGCTGGCAGGTAAAGTCTGTCACTGTTCACGCTGCTGCATCACCATCCATCGTGCTTTGTGCTTAATTATCCGTAACAAAACACCTCGCAGTCTTCCACTCATACCAGGAGAAGCAGAGCACCCTAAAGTTGAATCGAAATTTCAAAACATCTTTTGAATTTCAGGTCAAGACCTTGTACAAGTTTTTCAAGGCACTTGGTATTCTCACCAATGCTTTTATACTGAAGCACCTCACAGGGACATTAGCATATTCATGTTAGTTATAGGTTCGTCCCTGCAGGGCACAAATTGCTAACCCTGACAATGTTATTTCCATTCTACCCATTGATCTTCCTCTCTAACAGCAATATGATCTGCTACATTAGTACAATGCTCATTTAAAGGCAAGCAGTAAGTGTTAACGGATAAGACCTCCGAGCCCGACCCTGAGCATCCTCCTCCTGCTTTGACAAGTGCTTAACTTTGAAGATTTAATATGAAGTCAATGAGAGTTGTAACCTTGGTGCTTGTTTGGAAGTATGTTTTGTTTTGTTGTGCATTTTACAAAGCTGAGACACTTCAGAGGGCTTGTGTTACAGTAACAGGCAGAAAGTCCCATTTCCTTGTTCATTCAGGAGGTGTCTTGGTGGAATTAATGAGAGAAAAATCAAATTTTAAGCTTCTGTGGTTTAATATACTTGCTTCCCAAAGGCATTTTCTCATCTTTATGTAGCTGTAAACGTAGTCAGTGTCAACACACATTGAGATGATGATTTGATAATCAGTACTGACTTCATCTCACAGCATCAGTTCTGCCTTAATTTTCAGTAAAACTTTCACAAACTCTTACTGAAATGTATTTGAGCTGCTGTTATCAGTCCAAAAACGTTTACAGATATGCTCCTAATGTGGATTTAAACAGTCTGCTGACATCCTACAAGCAGAAAGAAAATGCCTCTCGTGATTTACAGCTCCGATATCCTGACGCCCAGTGCTTAAAACTTCTTTAATTTCATCAGATGGATTGTAAATTACAATGTCCAGTTCTGTTAGTGTTGCCAGGTGTAAGATAATTATTGAATTTATATTTACCCCCTTTATCGCTGTACCAGCTATTATTATCTATTATTAATGAAAGGTTGTGGAACAATCATCGATGATGTGTTGCAGAAAACTGATGCTGGATCTGTCATAATTGATCAAATCACATCTCTGCTGAGATCTCATGAGACTGCCACTCACAACCTTGTTTAAACTCTTTGTCACTGTATTTTACAACTTTTTTTGTACGAATATGGTACATAAGTCCTTTAATCTACACCTACTGTGGGCTCATTGCAGTCAACTCTGTGAACCCGTGGAAGTATTGTGACCTTTGGCACGGATTCATAAAGGATGCAAGGCAAACTCAATTATGTGTGCGCTGCAATCTGGATTTAAATGGACAATAATTTGCCCTGAAATATGATAATTCTTGACTTATTTGTTTTTTTAGCACCTGGCTATCAATCACCAACTAATTCATATGCTGCTTCTTTTTGCTTCATCCATCTGTCTTGTAATGGCATCTTAAAACAAGTTGACTACATTATGACAAAACATAAGAACAAGCGTCTTGGCATTTCTGACTGGGTTTTGCTGAAATCTAAAATAATGATACACCTGTCAGCCCATTTTAATGTCTAACACTGATTGGCCCAAGGTGGGGCACAAAACAAGATGGATATTTGTGACTGCGAGGGAGGGGGTCTACATAATTTGTGGGGAACACTGTTTGTTTATTGTTACCTTGTTAGAAAATGGAACGCTGTCTAACTGATGGATGGTTGTAAGATAAGACTGACTCTGTTAGTCCCTGAGGGGATATTTGTTTCGGACCATGAAATAAGCACTTTTGCTTAAGAATGGAAACAAACACACTGACAGCAGCAAATAGTCACATAATTAAAAGTACAATGTCTGTCGGCAAAGGTTAATGCATCCTAACTATCTCCTATGAATACTGTCCCCTTGATACACACACACACATTCACTTCATCTAAGAGAAATTAAAGTGCACGTTTAGTGCTGGTTGTTGTGTTAATTAAACTGAGAGATTACAGTTTTCCATGTAAGAACTTTGGAAAAACCTATTTCTCACAGAGGTCATCTTTCCTCCACAATGTTACATGACCTGATGCTGTTAAAAGGCACAAGAGCCAAGCGCCCACCCCTCTGGGCTAACTAGAAGCAGATGCTTGGCTAGTGAGGCTTCCTACTGGCTTTTGTTTATGTTCTTGAGCACATTCCTTTTCACCTCCTCCACGTGTCTGCCCTGCTGTGGCCGTCCCCGTGCTGGATGTCTATACAGCTGGAGCCGAGAGCAGCGACGGGACCGTTAGAGACCTGAACGAGAGTCCCTTTGGTGAGTTTCATTGGCCCCGGTTCTCGTGAACTCAAGACAGCTGGAAATCGTTCCCCTGTCACGTTGGCTTAAAAAAAAAAAATAAAAAGGAAAACCTTGTGGAAGCGACTGAAGGCCTGTTGGGTCTGGACATCTTATCGAACTCCTCCCTGAGCTCCTGCTGCGGTTATAAGTCAGTGAGTTTGGGCTGGGAAGCTTTGTCTACAGCTCTGGCACCAGGCCCTTCATGTGGGACCGAGTTTAAAGTTTCTGGGCCTGTGGTGCTTTTCCACCAGCTCTGCTTCTCCTGTTTCTCTGGCTCGCACACCGCTCTCTGCGCTGTGTGATTACTGTAAAGAATCTGGCAGAGCCCAGATAATCTGTGCATCCAGCTGTGTCATGTCGTAAAGTACCTTTAATGCAAGTTAACCACATCATTTAAGGTACACTGCAGTCGCATGCTGATTCCAGCCTTACAAAGACAAATAGTTTGCAAAGTCTTGGGGAAAACCGTGTCTTAAGGCATTTGTGTTGAATGAGCCCATGTCCTAAATGATTCACCAACACATAAATATTATCTGCAGTGCTTCAGGACCACTGCAAAGGGCTCCAGTGACATTTTTAAAGAGGTTTGCCCGCCTGAGCACATCCTCTCTTTAAATGTTCACAGCTTTTTATGCTGGGAAAAATCAGTTGTGACTGCTCTCTGGGCGTTTACCTCAAGACCCAGTCGAGCTCCCAGGTCAGCCTGCCAGGGGAGAAGTAGGACAGCCAGCAAATTAAGATATTTGGATTAGACCACTTAAGCTGTGGAGCAGATTTTTATTCTTATGTGTTAGGCACGTTGTGAGTCACAGCTCTGCGTCTTTTAGACTGGAAGGAATCCAGTGATGATCTGTGCATGAAAATCAATAAACTACAGATGTAATAGATGGGCGTTGTACACTGTTATGCCTCCTCAGCACAATTCAAGGCTGTCTGGGGAAAATGTGTTAATCTCTAAGGTAACTGTTTCTGCACGGACTGAACATCTCGCATCATCATGTAAATGCAGCTACGAATGTCTCTCAATGGATCTGTTTTTGTTGTGTAACCCATAAATCCTCGCAGTTACCTTTTAACAAGAAGACTGACTGATGACGGCTTAGTAAAAATAGGAACTGTAAAATCTGGAATTAATTTCTCATTCTGTCACCTGTGTCTCCATCCTGAACTCAGCAATGTAGATTTATTCTGTTCTTGAAATGTAGGGCAGGCAGAGAGAGCAGGTCGAAGACAATAGAGGCAGTTTGATTTCAGTGGGAGTCCCTCTTATGCAGTATAATACACTATATATATGTAATCGTTATGTAACGTGTGCCACGGTGCTTCTGCTTTGGTTTGCATTGTATTTTTAGCAGGCTGACAGCATGGCATGGATGAGTGTCATTCTTTGGCCCGTCATGTGGCCGTGTAGTCTCTCTGACGGGGGAGTGACACTGCAGAGCTCTCCGCTGCTTTGCGTCCATTGGACAGCAATAAATTAGGTCAATATTTTTTGTTATAGTTATGTACCAAGTGAGGAGTTAACTGTACTCGCGGTGTGCTCCATGAAACAATACCCATGTTTTCCGTCAGGTTGAGTCTCATGCAAAATCCCTCTGGGTCAATAAAGCAGCAGTCATTTGCAAGAAACGAGATAGCCGCTGTACTGGCCGACACCCTGGGTAATTCCACCCCTCCTTTCATTAATATATCATATGGACTACATATGCTTTGCATAGGTTTTAAATGAAGAACAGAACTAGGATTGGCTTTAAGTTTTAAGTGGTTGTTCTGCACTTGACAAAACCACACATGCCATGCTATCTCCTGCCTTTCATCGTGCCTGTGAAATACAAGAATGTGACCCCAGGACCTTGTGCTTGCACACACAGAACTTCATCAATGTCTCACTCTCTTTCAGACTGTCTGTCAGCCTGTCAGCCTTTTCACACACACGCTCACATGCAGGCTTTTAATGGCAGAGAGTGTTGGGAGCACGTGATAAGGTGCAATAGGAATGTGTGTGTTTGTCCCATCACTGCGAGCTTCCCACACATATCTTTTTCTATTTTACTTTTGCTGTTGTTTTCTGTGTGCCTCAGCTGTTCTGTCACTCCACCAAAAGAAGGGAAGGGTTATTATAAGACAATCTGTATTCGTGAAGCTATTTACACCGGCTGAGTTTTCACTTGCACCGTCGCTGCAGTGGACCTGTTTTTGTTTTGAAATTATGAATTTTTTATTGTGTTTTATTTAGTATTTCTGAAAGATAAGTGAGCACATCCTGTCCTCTGGGTGTTTCACCAATGTGTTGTAATGCGAGTGTCCCATGAACATTTATGAGTCTGCGCTGTGTGTTGGACAGGAAGCTGAACACACACTGTGGTCCCGGACTCATGATGCTGTGCAGATGTTCGGCCCTTAGAGCTCCTAGGTCCACCTAACTCACCTCTGTTCCTTCTGCCTTATCAGGGCTGACCAGGCATCACTTTGCACAGAAAATTAGCTCGCTGTGACTTGTCTTCTCATCAGCTTCACCACAGTGAAGAAGTGATGAGGTGAGATGTATTTGTAATCCGAGTGCAAGAGCCAGAACACAGTGAACCAGCGTTTTCTCACCATCTGTCAATAGCTGGACGTAATCAGCAGAGACAGAAACATAAATCGCTCTTTATTTGGACATAAGCTTGGCTCAATGACCCTGCAAAGATCATTTCATTATAGCAATAAACAGCTTTAGTTAGATTTACGTAAACAAACCTCTCTCTCTCCGCCAAATGTTGTGTCTAAAAGAATCTAACTGTAGACAGAATCACAGACTGAAAATAACCTGAACCTGTTAATGAAGAAAATACAGAAACAAATGGGATTCTGTTCCATCTGCTGCTGCAGCCTGGATGACAGGATTCAGCCTGCTTGGTCTTATATCGAAAATGGAGTGGCTGCTTTTATGTTTGTGCTTCTCGACAGTTTGTACGGCAACATGTGTGAAAAGGACACTTTCACCTAAAATGTTTTCAGCACCGCTGCTGATCAAAGACTGAAACTGATGATGTCCAGATGGAGGAGATTCACTGGTAGAGGTCAGAGTAGAGGAAGAGTTTGTCACTTTGATCTCTTTTCGTGACTTGTGATCGTCTCTGATGGTGAGGGGAATAAAAGGATGTACTAACAGCGGTTTACGTATTTGCAATGGCAGCTGAGGTCTTGTTAGCATAGCATCACACAGACTGGAGTTGGCAGCGTTTTTACCTTTCTTCTGAGCCAACGTACTTGCACTACTAACACACCCTGCTAATTGAACCTCCTTTTCCCACACCCTCTTACTGCATATGCTTGGAATCACAGACCTTGTCTAGTTGAATTATTCAGAGTAACTTTTATGTTACAAAATCTGCTTGCAATGAAATGGCTATCTGGCTGAGAAATTGTCCCTGATTGTGTGCAGCAACTTGGGAATGTTTTTAAAGAAATAACACAGCTTTCCCATCCTCGGTTTGCCATCTGTACAAAGTTATGTTTTATATGAGAGACCTGTTTGAATAGCATCCTGTTTCTTATCTATGTACTTGCTATGCAGGTACACAGTTCTCATAGCTCCTGATTTCAGTTGTCATGAGCCCAATGTGTTCCTGTAGATTTGCTTGGCTGACCAGGAGAGGAACGAGAGTACCGGCAGGAGTAAAGCTTCATTTGAACCCACAGAGACAAACTCGTGTCCCGGAGGCTCGAGTGTCAAGAGGTTGAGTGATGAATCTGGTCACTGAGGCAGACTAAGACTTTACACCACACCCAGACAGACGCTGCCAAAGGAAAAAAAGTCCACTGTAAAACTAAACAGTATTTTGTTCTTCAGCAATTTAGCCTTCTGTAAGACTTTTATGCAGAATGTAGATCTGTGTTGTCAAGCAGAGGTAAGAAGAACATTATGTAACCTCTCTTTATCCACATACTGTCACATAAGAGTGAGGGCTCAAGGCAATATTGTCGACTGAAGAATAATTGGGTAAAGAAATGTCTACAGTGAGAAGGAGAACCATTTCTTATCAAATATATGTATCCTTGTGTGTCACTGCAGGTTGTCTTGATGTATTTTTCATCTTTGTATTCACAGAGTTTGATCAGTAAGAACACACGGTCCGAAACAGCTACAAAAGTCTGGTGTTACTCTATTTCTGTGACATACAATAGAGTATTGTATGTAGTGTTCAGAAAAAAAAAACCCCACACAGCCCACAGTGGAATTATATAAGACCATAGGGACATTTTATTTCAGTATTCATATAGGATCAAATGAGTAACCCTTAATGAGTGGCTACACGTTGTTACATCCAATGCTTAGTGCCGTTGCATTCATAAGAACTTCAATTTCGATAATCAAGTGTAGATCTGATATTTAAAATGTCAAACCAAAGTTAAAGTTGTGATGCAACTTTGTCTACCAATTAATGCATGATAAATATATGAAATCAGATTTTGGGTTTCTACCTCTAACTAGAGAAACACCTGTGGGCCTTTTTCCTTAACATACAAAATATAGTTGTTATTAAGGGGTTAATAAGTATGTGATGCAAATGTGTTTGCCATTTCATCCTCCTAAAATCAAATCAAGGTGGCAAAAAGTGCCTTTTAAATGAAGCAAGCAACACAATTTCAACATTTTTGGCAAAGCTTCCAGCAGCTGCTCTTTGTACATATGTCTTAGTCTCTCCTCACACCATTAATTTTGCTCTCAGTTGTGTCTTTGGCCCCGATTGTTTTAGGAGTTTTGTCTCAGACTCTGACCTCAGTGGTCTTAAACTCCTCTTGTTTTCTTGAAATGGCACTGTGATCATGACACTGCAAACAATCAGTGGTCGACTGCAGAGTTGGATCAAAGTAACACAGAACATCAGGAATCACTGGCTGTCCTCAGAGGGTGGTGAAAGTGTTTGTTGAGTCTCCCTGTGTTTCTGAAACAGAAAGTGCACTCCCGTTGTTAGGAGATTGAACCGTTACTTGACTGAAACGATCACGGCTGTAACTCATGCATTTGCTACAATATATGAACATAATTGTGGTAGTGAAGTTTTGTAATGATGTCCTGGTAGGAAAAAGAACATTCAACAACATTATTGAAGGTAACTTTATCATTGGGAAGTGACCTCTCAGGTGTTTGCTGTGGTGCCAACCTGTTTACTCGGCCATGTCGGTGTACCTTTCAGTCTGTGCTTCTTCATAAAGTGTAGATGATGATGTGCAGTCAGGACATGCCCTTCTTAGGATAGATTAAGGAAACTACTGTTTGTTGGCGTTTATCACCCCGCTTAATGGGCTCCATGATATCACAAGGCTTCTAATCAGTGGGTTTTTATGTGGGACCGGCCTGTAATTGAATGTCAAGTGTGAAGAAACACCTCACTGCTCCCTTTTTAAAATGCACACTCAGGTCTGTGTAGCAAGCCAGGCTTTAATTGTGCTGTTTCAGTTTTTAGAATTAGAGAAATGTTTAAAACCCTCTATACCAACTATGTTCTGTTCTCTCCAGAGCCAAATGTTTTGTCCTTTAGCCAGGACTCTGAACCTTTAGCTGGTCATGTGAACTAAAATCAATCTGGTCAAAGAGCTTTAGCTAATGGCTTTAACTGTGAATGGCTACCTGCTACCTAATTGTAGCCCCTCTCCTCCTCACATTTTTACCCTCTTTTTTTAATTTGCCCTTCTCCTGGCCTCTCCTCAGTAAGATTTATGACTCAGATTTTTTATTTCACTGCCATAGCAAGGACGCAAGAACCGTCTGTACCTGCTACCACGACGAAAATCAATCTCCCCTCTCTCTCTGTCTCCCTCTCTGTCTCTATGTCTGTCTAACTCCCTTCCCCTTTGTAACCGTGCAGGCAGTTGGCGGGGATGGGAGATGATGGAGGACAAAGGCCCTCGTGTAGCCGACTACTTTGTGGTGGCCGGTCTGACGGACCCGTCCAAGCCGTTGGACCAGGAGATCCACTTTGATGATGTCTGCCACAAGACGGCCAAGCCCAAGGCGCCCATCACCGATGTGGCGGTGGTGATCCGCTCGATGGGCGAGGAGGTGCCGCCAGGGTTTACATGCATAGAGGAAACACCAAGCGGCCATTCAGCTGATCTTAACAATGGCGGCCTCATGGCGCCCCAGATCTTCCTGTGCTACAGGCGGGGTCGTGACAAACCGCCTCTCACTGACCTTGGGTAAGTTCCAAACGAGAGTTGATCTTTGTAGTTGATGTATTTTGCTGTGTTAAAAACAACGCAACACAAAACATTGTGAGTATTAAAAAGAATCTACAGCCATGTGAGCAGCTCTGTGAGGCAGTATTTAGACACAGATGCTGAATTCAGTGTGTTAACATGCTCACAATGAGCCTGCTGTATGCTGATGTTGTTCACCATCTTGGTTTAGCATGTTAACATGCTAACAATTGCTAATTAAGCACAAATAACAGCGTCCGATGGGAATGTGGTTTGTTTTGAGGGTAATTAGTAAACCATAAACCCTATTTAAATCAACAAATTCAGATTTTGACCTACTGTTAATCCAAAAACACAGATGTCAACATCATGGCGGTGCTGAATTAAAAGTCAGGGGAGGTTTCAGTCTGGTGGACTGAAATGTGCCATCCTTGAGCCATGCTGCTAGTAAAAAAAAAAGAAATTATCATTTTAAAAGGACTATAAAAACTTTTTATTGCAAAGTAAAGACTGAGCAATGCCACTGGTCAGCGGCCTTGCTCAGTTATAACTCTTATTGCTTCAGCCTAGAGCTATGTTGCCCAATTGTAAAGAATAAATGATATCCAACCAACTGTAAAACCAAATGTAACGGATGACACATCTCTGCATCTCCGCAGTCACACTGTAAAACCAGTTATGGACAGGCTCCTCTGCAGAAAAGAGTCTGCATTGGTATTGTGACCAAGTCTAGACTGTTAGTCCATATATCCTAATAACATCCTTTATCTCTACAGTCAGTCACAGGCTGAGCCAGCTTATTTTACTGATAATGATGATGGTTTCACAGTAAAGGCACCTCTACAAAAAGCCGGAGTGGTTGTGTGGTATACTGAAACAGAAGGTGTGATGAACTTTGATGTTGCAGCACCTGCTTCTGCTTCAACTACTGTAGAATATATTATCCAAAGGGCGGATAATAGAAACGGATTCACCTTTTTTTGCTTTAAAGTTACGAGTGTGAGTTTTCCAGACATCTATAATAATGACTCACTGTGATGAAGTGCACAGTCTGATCTATCCAACTCACACGGCAATGTTCTTTATGCATTGCAGCATGTCACTGTATTTATTCTTTGTCTCATTCCTGGTAATGATTAGCTGCTACTGTCAGCAAACGTTGTGGGTGCAGTTATTTCTGTAACTTTCAGCTTTCTAGTTACCATTAAAATCTGCCCCGCTGTTCCTTGCTATTGTGAGTGAGGAGTACAGTCCCTATTTTAAAAAGTACAGTCCATATCATGTCTGTTTAAAGAAGCTGAAGTGCTCTGATGTTGGAAAGTGCTCTGCCTAAAAACGTCCTCCTGTGCAGCAGTTTTCCATAGCAGCCTCTTTCTGTATGCCTTGCAGCCGTTCCCCCATTGTGATTTCACAACAAAAAGTGGAGTAGCGCGAAGCACCGCAGTTACAGGTGTCCTCCTCAGCAACATCCTTTGAACTGGGGGAAGTCAATACTGTTTGTTTAGTGCTCTCACACCTCTGGCTGACACAGGCAGGTGGTGACAATGCTAAGGAGGCTCATACTGGCCTCTGACACTACAGAGTGCAGTGCTTATCGGGCACTGACACAGAGGCTCTGCTCAGACAGTATCAGCAGCTTTGTGTGCTGATAGCTCAGAGGGGCTGCACTTCCCAGACATTGTTGGGACTAATGGGAAGTGTGTGTGTGTGTGTGTGTGTGTGTGCACGCTTGCAGGTGTAGCCATTATTTATGTGCAGTTTTACTTATGCAGAGGGTATAATTAGTTTTATCTGTGACCAGCGGACATATTAATATCAATTTGGTTTCAATACTGAGGACTAGAAAGGTAATTGATGAGCACTGGCACCTCAAGGAAATTTGTTAAGCAGAGGCTATTATCAACCCAAACACTGACCGATCACTTTAGTTTAGTAGCTGATGGCCCAAACAGAAGACACGCTCAATAAATATATGACATTTTCTGTGTGAAAAAGCACCTCTGCTCTTTTTCCCTGAATATTCATGCTTTATTTCAGACATTTTGTGTGTAGGATTTAGTGGCAATTAGCAGTGTAGATACATCGTTGTACCGTCCCTTTCCAAGCACGAAGCAGAAACTGCAGCCCTACATGGCGGTTCAACATGGTGGACTCCATTGAAGGCGACTTGCAGCGTCTGTAGATATAAAAGGATTATTCTAAGGTTATAAAAACATAAGATGATTCAGGTGATTATACACTAATGAAAACATTGTTATGCATATTATATTCCATATCTGCCAATAGAATTAATGGTTTATCACCTCACCTAAAATAAAGTTAAGCTCCTTTACAAAAATCCTGCACTAAACTTGAAGTTTGGAGAGGCAATTGAGGTCTCATTTAGCAAACACAAAGGCCCGTTTAAAATTATACAGAATTGGTGGCTCTGTCAATAAAGGATGAATGTCAACTGCACTGGTCTGATGAGGGGAACTGTAGTGTCTGATATAACAGCAGAAAAAAATGTGCACAGAGTGTGAAGGCCTGTTGCAAGCAGAGCAGAATCACCACAGCAGTGAATACTGAAATGATAAATAAACGAGAATAAAAAAATCCCACAGCTGACCACTTTCAATTTTGTTCTCTTTTCAGCTTTCAGATAGTGCCTTAAAATGCCTGTTGAGTTCCACTTGAAGCAGTAATGGAGGATAAGTGCATAATGGAAGCACAAAGAGGGATGTTTAAAATTAATGCTACTGTTACGTACCTCTGAGTACTCATCCTCTAAGTGGTTTGTGTGAGTGTCCTCTTGTGCCTAATTGTAAAGCTGTATTGGGTTAATATGTTTAGACTGATTGTGTACAGTACATAAGCCTACATGCTGTACTGTGTTAGGACTGTCAGATACACAAAATCATTATGTTTGCTTGTTATCATTAAAAGTTGGTTGTAAACTATTACTATTAGGATTCTCACAAAAATAGGCAAAAACTTAATTTTTATATAAAAACTCCACAATAATCTCTATTGACCCTTCCTAAGCCCCGCCTCTTTTCGCTCTGTGCTCCAATAAGAGTTGAGCAAGCCTCAGTCAACTGTTTCCTTTCCTGTACTTAGATATGCTTTATGCTAAGCTCGTCGATGTTGAAAATACAACCAAATAAGGTTAAAAGATAATAAGTGACATATATCCATCTCTTATCTTACTAGCTACATCATTTTTTAAAATAATTTTTTAGTCGTTAGTTAGCTAGTTCAGTAACAGTGGAAACTGTTTAGAAAAGAGTCGGTCCTAAAAAAAAAATACTCTGCAGGTGTCTGGAGAAAACCTCTTTTATCTACCGTCTGTCACCATCTATCACTAGTGACCTTCAACCAGTCAGATCATCCAACCGTATAACATTTTCAAACTCTTACTGAAGCCAGTTGGGAGAAGAGAAAACACATTTTCCATGGAGAAAAGCCTTCACTGCTTCTTCTAATGAAGAAATGCTGACATTACTGATGCTAGTAACTTCTACGCTAACCTCTCTAGGGGCCACCATTGTTGTTTTCGAGCATTCACTTCTCCACACAACCTCACACACACTTAGCGTTAAACAATAGCTCACACTGTAGCTGCCAGTAGTTCCTCACAGGCAGCTGGTTGGTCGGTAACCACAGTGTTGGGACACAAGCTCATAGCTTGAAACCTGGCAAGATGGATTCTAGCAGGATTTTGTGATCTTGTGAGTCAAGCTGCCTCGCAAGACAAGCCTAGCAGATCACATAGCATATCTAAGTACAGGAAAGGAGAACGAGGTTCTGACAGAAGCTTGTTCAAATGTTATCAAATAGGAGTGGGAATTATTCTAAAATACTTTTGCACAATAATACCAAATGTACAATATGTAAAATTAGGTCAAAGCATGCTCTAGTTTAAGGCATGGTCCATAGATAAGAAGGGGACAGTAAGTAATGAGTGGATATGCTGCTTCTAAATACAGCATCATACAGTATGCACCCACCCGACTTTATGATCATCACTTGCTTTCCACAGCAGAAAGCCCACATACAAAAGAAAATGAATAAATTTTTTACTCAGTGATTACTCCACCACAAGCAGAACTGTTTGTAATTTTGGGTTTGAATGCCGCTGGAGCTCCTTACTCGGTTACATTAGAGTCCTATGATGTCTGTTTAAGTGAGATGTTTTTGTTACCTGACATGGAAAATGGCATTTGGCATTTTTTCAGTCTTTTACCAGCTGGTATCATTATTATGAGAAACTAAAATGCTACCATACTGATGATTTACTGTAAGTGAGGCAGGAGAATCTGCAGTTTTTTGGGAACAACAACTGAACACAACCTCGATGGCATCCAGCTTTTTACCTCATATGTTGAGGTAATGACTCATTTGAGTGTGGCTTTAAAAGTGGCCCTCAGCTTGAAGTTGAGGAGACATTTGTACACTAACTGCCACTTTATAAGCCGATAGATCTTCTGCTCATTTTTTTTTATGAATCGCATCAATTCTACTTTGCTGGTTATGAGGTGCAAAGCAGACATTAAGCTTAATCAGCTCCATTCTGTCACCCACTGAAAACTGGGACAAATGCCCAATGTTAAACTTAAATTGGGAGCTCCACCTAATTGGCCCAATGAGATCATGACGGCATATTGTGTTGATTAATTTTACACGGTAATCACACTAATAACTATACATCGATGTGGAGTTTTGTTTGGCTGACTGCCTGTGTTGTGCCTCCCCCCGCAGCGTGCTGTATGAGTGGAAGGAGCGACTGAAGCAGGGCTGCCACCTCATCCAGACCACACCCTCCGGTCGCCCTGCCAACATCAGCGGCAATTCCTCCCAGCGCATCTACGTCACGTACCGCCGGGCGCCCGAGAGCCAGCCGCACACCGCCCTGGCTGTCACCGACATCTGCATCATCATCCCGAGCAAAGGAGAGGCGCCCCCGCACACCTTCTGCAAGGTGGAGAAGAATGTCAACAGCAGCATGGTGAGAAAGACGCTGGTGTACAGAAATCTTGTACTTTGAACATTTTGTTGGTGAGGTGATTCTTCTTTCCGGCACCCTTTTGCAAAAGCATTCAACAATCATGCAGGGAGGAATCTATTGCAGAAGAGTTGAAGAGAGCAATTTCCACAGCGAGAGAAACAGGGTTGAGACATGAAAGTGCACTGTAGACACCTGCATTAACTATATTTGTGTTTACATACGCCAAACTTTTGCTCATCCTTCTTCTGGTTTAGTTGTTATTGGGAATTCTTGAAAAGTAAGATAAAGGGTAACCTGAGGTAGAGGGTGTAGGTTGAGGGTAAGTGGGCACCCCAAAGCTGTATCAAATTCTTCATGAATGTCATAAAAAGGTATTAATATATGAGGGTGGGTGTGTTTTTTTTATTAAAGTTACTGCAGGATATTATGAGTTCAGCAGACTTTAGTGCTCATTTTGTCAGAGCCTTGTCTGAAATTCAAAATGTCAGGATGTTTTGAGTCTTGAATCCTCAACTCACTTTCCTCCAAACCTTCTCCACATGTTTTAAATTGGTGATTTGAGCTCCGGTAATGCACTCAGCAATGCAAGATGACATTGAGCTGCAATGACTATGAGTCAGCCTGACAAACACCGACATATTTAGCTCCCATACTCTCTTTCAGGTAGAGTTCAGCAGTTTAATTTCAAATGACTGTGTTGGCAAAAAATGTCAGCCTAGAGCTAAGTAGAGCTTCTCTTTGTATTTGTGCTGGAACATATTGTGGCGGACAGAAAATGAGAAATAGACTGAATCTTACCTGTTTATTCTCTTTTTCGAGTTAATTGCGTTTTTTCAGTAGTTAGGAAAGAGATTTCAGCCCCTAGGTGAGTCACTGGAGCTTGGTAGTGCATCTAATTATGGAAAATTGTGTAAAACACTCCTACATTACCTCAGGAAGTTTATTAATGTTGTGTGTGTTTATACCAATCCAGTTTTGTTTCTTTTCGAAGAGGGAAGCAGAGTCCCTCGAGGTTCATGGCCTCTGCTCCTCTGTTTGGTTTCCTCCTCACACAGTATTCATGCTGTAGACAAATATCTCTCCCTATCCACTCTCCTGTCATATTCTGTTTATATCTCTCTGTCTTTCTCTTCCACCCACCCGGCCACACATACACACACACACACACACACACACACACTCTGTAGGATACTGTAAAAGTCCTTGCTGTGTCAGCTTGGTCTACATTTGGCATTTCATACTGTAGAACAGGCTACCCCCACTGAGAAACTATGTGCATGTGTGTGTGTGTGACTGCACGTGTGTCGTAAAAATCTCTTCATGCAGAGTAAGTGTGCCAGGGAGTGTATATAATTCTACAGAGACTTGTGGTGCATAGAGGAGAAATTGAGGCTCCTACAATAGAATTGGGATTTAGTTACACTCATTTTTCAATCTGACTAATGTAGGCGCTGTGAAGATAATTTTTTTTATATTTCCGCACAGCTCCGGGTGCGTACTTCATGTCCAGATTTAAAGATTTATTACAATTTTTAGTTGCCATACACCATCTTCCCCACACAGTGACTAATTATCCCAAACAAGATGTGTTTATCAGATGAATCTTTTCTCTCTGCTAATGGTTTGGTTATTAGATGCCTGAGTGTAGTTTGTAGCTTCTGGCTTCCTAAACTGTTAGAGGGGTAATAACATCTTTGTACTGGACTTTCCAGTTTATTGATAATTAAACACTGTCTGGCTTGATTGGGACATTTTAATTAAGGCCAAATGATGAATGATAATAGAATTCAGTTACATGGTACTTTTCTGCCTCAGCGGACAAAAAGGCTTTACAATGTACCTCTAATTCACCCATTCACTCCCACACACACTCACACACAAATAGTGACGGATAAACAAACACATACTTTGTAAATGTATGGTTGTTTGCTGGATTTAAAAGGTTTTTTGTGTTCAGCAGCTCACTCTAATCTCGTATGTCGGCGCATCCTTAATGCACCATAAAGGAGGGTTTTTAAATCGGGCTGTGCTTGTGACTGTGTTACACAGTAATAGCATCACTGGGACAAAAATAAAAAGTTAACAGTGACAAAGTACCTTCTGTTTCTGAAGCAGGTTTCAGGCCTCTAATGGTTTTCTGTAATATAAAGTAGGGGTTGTAGATTGTGATCGAAGCCCTCTGCAATATTATTTTCAGGTGAATCATAAAAACTGTGGTATTTAATGTCTTTGATCTTCTATTCTTCACATAACTTCATTGTCTAGCAGATCCACATTATGTGACCAAACCAATAGAGGGATGCAGACTGGACAAATTACTCCTCGTGACTCCTCCTTGGGTGACATATTGTAATTTATGGAGTTGATGGAGTACTTAAAGTGTGATCTTATGATTACTTTATCTTTTGGCTTCAAATTAAATGATTTAAACTCAGGTTTTAATCACCACTTTGAAGCCTGTGCAATATCTGTAATGCAATATTGTGTTTTAATGGTCCATGTAGAAGATGGCTGGCTATAGTCTACAGGACCGTTCAGAATTAAAAAAAAAAGAAATATTGCAGTTTAGATCGTGGATCATGATTGAGCTTAAATGGATCGTGATATGACTTTTTTTCCATCCATCCACCACTAATGTAAAATATTCCAAATTTGTAGTTGAAAAGAGTAACTTTACCTAGCTTCTTCTGGTTATAATTTTTAGTCTGCTGCTCCACATGCATCATTATAGCAGCATTGTGAGAGTCATTGGTGATCATAATGGGCTAAAACATGCAAAACCACTTGAATGGCGCTTTAAAAACATTGAGCTGCCTTTTATATGATTTCATCAAATGAGGTAATAATTTCAACTTTGAGAGGGAGTAACTGGTCTGCAGCTCTAAGCCCTGTATGCATTTAGTTGCCCGTGTCATTCATAAAGGACAACATGCTAACGTTTCCCATTTTGATCTTGTTTTCAGTGGGGCTCCTCTGTCTACCTGTGTTATAAGAAGTCTGTGGCCAAAACCAACACAATAGCCTACAAAGCAGGTAAGCCTTCCTAATCCCATAACTACTGAAGCACGCAGATCCGAATACTGATGTGTACCTCCTGTTCCTGGTGATAAAACATATCAAATAACCATGTTGTGAGTAAATACTTTCCCTCCTTCCTCAGTTCTTCCCCCTAATCACCGACGTCTTGTGTGAGAAAAACAAAATCATCATTTTGGAGGATAATTTCATACACTGTATTGATGGAAAGTTGCTTGTAATAATAAATTGGAGTTGCACGAAAGATGAAGGAAATGAGGTTAATTTGAAAGCGATAGAACTGTACTGCATGGAACCTGGTGCCTGTTTCTCTATTTGCTCCAGCTGTTTGTTGTTGTAGAGATGTCTCTAGAGAGGAGGGTCTGCTGCAGAGTAAACCGGCTGCAGGATGACATTCTGCTACATCTGTGCTTGCAAGTTCAGGCTTGTTGAAGCATGTTGATGCCTCCGAATTAGAGTGATGAGATAAGCTTCTGCACGCCAATATTGTCCTAATATAAAGTTAAAGGGTTTAAATGCCATACATTTAATGGTGATACAAGCATAAGGGATAATGTGCCTTTTTCACATTAAAGCCTTCTGACTTTTCCAGTGCAGTGACAGAAGATTGTAATTTTTTGATAACACCGTTGGCTCAGTGCTGCTGTGTTTGGCTCAGCCTCAGATTGGCTGGCTGATGTTTTGTTGTTCATGTCTTGAATATGCAGCAGACTGTGAATGGAGCGATCCTATCTGTTTCTCTCTAATGCTTTGGATGAGTCAGCTCACAGAAATGAAGTTTATTTTCAACATTATGAGGCCAGGAAAACTCCAGCACGCAACAAGCTTTAAGTTCTGGAAACGGATATGTTTTGCAGCATCTGACTTTATTTATAGACTAATGCAACAGTTTGATCCCCAACTAAGCGTGCTTAGTTTGTTTTGTTGGTGGATACATGGTTTTTATTTGGAATGAAATATTATAAATGTGCACATTTAATTAAATTAAATGAAATTCAATTTTATTTTTATAGGGCCAATTCATAACAGAAGTTATCTCAGGACACTTTTCAAATAGAGCAGGTCTAGACCGAACTCCTCCCAACAGTAGTAGAACCGACTCGTCTCGCGCTAACACTTTGAGCAGAGAGCCAACAGTTCCACCAATGAGCAAGCAACATTGGTGCACGGGCTCAGGAAAAACTTATTTTAAGCAGGCAGAAACCTAGGCAGACCTTCGGCTTCTAGGTGGGTGCGTCATCTGTGTCGACGCGACGTTCACGGGTAGGTATACAAGACATAGGCTTATACAAATATTAGTAGCCTTTGTCTCTAGCAGAGAATGGATACCAGGCAGGGATATGTAAATATAGTAATTATTCCTTAAAATTGCATATACACTAATACTATATTATTAACTCCTAACAAATTGCATTAATAATATATATATTAACATATTGTAAAATCAAATGATTACAGTACATGTGCATCTGCAGGTCTATGGAACTTATTAGCTTTTTTTTTAGCTCATTGTTTTGCTTTAACAGCACATTTACAGTTTTGGTTCAGTCTAAGTGCTCTCATCAGCACCATTTCCAGCAACATCCGCTTCCTGATTTCAGCTGATAAAGCTGTCTGCTACCTGCCAAACACCTCATGGCAGACAAAGCTAGCAACTGGCTGGTGAAGAAGGTGTAACATCTAGCTGCTAAAGAACCAGATATGAGTTAGAGTTGGGCCGTACTGTAATTCTAAATATTCTGATGCTTACAAACATGTCTTTTAGCCAAGTAAAGAGGGAGTCGCCCCCTTTTCTCAATACTATTTCTGCTTTCCAAAAAAGTTTAAAAAGCAATCAGAGGATATATATCATTTGTTTAGTCCATACAGAAGCCAGAGTGTTGTGGTTTTACAGGGATTTATATGCCAGATTATTTCTTGGCGAGGTGTAAAAATGTTAATTTATGAGCTTTAGAGGGGTTCCTAGGCGGATTGTGTTACCTTTGGACAGAGCTGTGTTGTAAAGAATTCAGTTTTCCACCGAGCCCGATCGATATATCAGTCAGCTGTTATTATCGGCTGATATTGGCTGCTGACATATTGATATTTTATTGGTATCTGCGAATATATGTTATCTGATATTCCGGCAGAGTGCACTGCAGTTTACAACACTGTAGCAAACACCACCAATTATTTGACACGTTAAAGAATATTTCTTTTAAANNTTTAAAAGAAATATTCTTTAACGTTGGAACAATTCTTTTTACACAAACTATCATACTTTGAGTTGCTGACCAAGCCTTCATGCCACAGCAGGTTATGTTTATCTATTCCCTCAGTGGGGCTATAATGTAGCTGTGCACTTGCAGGTGTTTTCATGATGAATAATCGTGTCCGATTTTTTGTAGTGAAGTGTTTAATGATACCGCATTTTAAATGCTGTAGTACAGAAGTTTATCATTGGCCTCAAGAATGTAAGTGTGCACTTTTAAAATGTGTGTTTACAATTACAATCTCCAACATTTAAGGAATGAACCTTTGATGAAACCTGGTGTGAAGGTTTTGTTACTTGGTGGGTGTTTTTGTGCACAGTTCGTGTCTGTTGGTAATTATTGTAGAACCTGTAGTCATACAGCCAAAGTTAGATGTAGCACAGAGTTAAGAAAGTGCACAAAGTAAAATCAGTACTTCATTATCTTGTTTGTGTCCACTGACAGTGACTAATGACCCGAAGGCCTGATTACCAAGCACTGATTACTTATTACAAAGCCAGCCGTTTCTAGTGAAACACTGGCCCGGTAAAGTCGTACATTATCATTGTGATTATAATAAATTGAACTTGTTTTGTTTCATTTTAAGCTTATTGGAAAGGCGGTTTTGCATCTACATTAGCTGTTAATTGGTAATCACAGAGGGTTTAGTCTCAGCTCTCTAAATTGAGTTCTCAGTTTGTTTGTTTTGTGTTTTTCCCCCCCTGTTAGGTCTATTCAGCAGATATCCAGAGGAGGACTATGAGTCATTCCCTCTGCCAGAGTCTGTCCCGCTCTTCTGCCTTCCCATGGGGGCCACAATCGAGTGCTGGCCAGCTAACACCAAATACTCCCTCCCTGTTTTTTCCACCTTTGTCCTCACCGGAGCCTCTGGGGAGAAGGTAAAACGGATGATTGGATAAATTCACTCTTTTCTACTTGTATGTCTTTTTTTATCTCACTCAGATGACTAACATCTCAGAAGCAGCATTAGGTATGAGAGGGTGCCAGTGACTGTTAGACCTCATCAACAGACTGTAACTGCCATCTATACAGCTGACATGACCACAGACTTACACACTATAGTGGGGCATGAGAAAACCACAATGCCATACCAGAAGGGAAAGTAGGTCAGGCATGCATGTTGTCTCGTCAGGTGAAAACCATGTAACTTCACATCTAGGGTTTCTTTTTTTAGGACTGGCCTATTGGCCTATTTTATTGGTCCTGAAAAGTGAACAAAAGTGAACATTGAGCTATAAGGTTGTTACCGGACAACAACTGTCTGTCTCTCTCAATCACTCCCTCACTCACCCACATGCACAAAACAAACAACATAGAGTTTACATGAACACTAGTGTCCCTTTAATCTGCCCCTTGTATTCTGGTATCAGAGGCCTGGATAAGCTTTTAGTGTATTTTAACCAACCCACACATATAAGGGACTCATTAGGGTTAGGGTGGGTTTGTTCTTTCATAAACAACCTGCAACGTGAAATAAAACAAATTTATAGCGTCTTAAGTTTTGCATTGTGTTATAAATTTAGGATCTGGGATAGTTTAGGATCAGGGTATGGCAGGAGTTCATGTTTGGGTTTAGATTAGTTTAGGCAGTGGTACGTTTACAACTGTTTTGAAGTTAACCCGTTTTCAGGTACCTTTGCACATTTAGTATTTCCATTTTCTGCTATGTTATAATTCCACTCAACTCAATTTCAGAGAAAAATATAGTGCTTACATTTATCTGCCAGGTATAGTCACATGTCAATGTACCAGATGTGGGTGAGCTTCTAAAACTGTGTTGGTGTCAACACCTTTAAACTACGAATAAGTAAAAATAAGAAAGTTATGAATGCAGAAGTGAGTGTTATGATTAAGGGAATCACTGTAGTCAACAGGGGGGTCCTTATAAGTATAGAAACACAGTGTGTGTGTGTGTGTGTGTGTGTTTGTACACATAGGTCAACAGGTGAGTCCTCAGTTAAACATGGAGCATACAGACTGCCAGAGTCCTGCTGAGACTCTGACCTTGGCCAGTAAAACACAAGTCAGCGTACGGACTGTCCTCACCAAATATCCCCCTGCATGTCCTCCAGCAAGCCTTCCCAACTCATGCAAACACACACACACCTGTACACACACAAATTTGACTCAGCAGCAGCAGGCTGCAGAGGGTTTGGCACCAGCGATGGCTGCTGACCCCTAACTGGCCTTGTTCAACAGAGCCGCTGCTATCTAAACATCAGAAGGCTTTGGATCTTATTTGTTTTCAATCACGATTGTGTTTCACCACATAATTCACTAATAAGTGTCAACATGAGCCTCATCCCAACCGGACCACTTTCCAAACCCACAGACCAGCACAGTGGGAAGGGGCTTGTGTTTAGATTTGAAAACCAAGAATGTGTGTGTGTGTCTGTTTGTGTGTGGCTGTGATGTCTTAAGCTGGAAGTATGCTCCTCTGTGCTGCCTTGTAAGACACACCTCTAAGCGAGTAGCCCTGTTATAATGGTGGTGCATACTCCTACCATGCTGGGCTTGGGCGCTGAGTCAAACCGAGTTCAGCTGAGCCAGAGGAAGCAGTGTCATGTTTAACAAACTCCAACGTAAAGAAAATGTAGAAGAAATGAGACAATCGAAAATCAATTTCAGTCAGGTGACTATCCATGAAACATGGTTTTCTCTGCTCGGAGGAAAAAGAAAACTGCCCAACACGTTGTAGGATCAACCAATCAGCTTGCTTGACGCGCAGGTCAACACTACTTATTGTTGAGATATGGCAGTTACCTATAACACCCTTCTCTGCATATGTTCGCGAAGACATTTACCTGTATCTCCAAATAATTCCAGCTTTAGAGGCTCAGTCCATTAAACATGGTGGATAGTGGGTTATGAATGGACATTTGATGGTTCCTGAAGTGTCTGCTTTATCATTAATGCTGATTCACACTATATTGGTGTGTGATATTCTGTCCTGTTGATTGGTTTAGTGTGTTACAACAGAATTAATCTAATGTATATTCAAAGATTGCTCAGTATTTGATTTGGTTCGTCCACCATTAATGGAGGACGTGAAAGATAATCAATGTATCCTCTCCATTACAGGTGAAAGACTTACTTTACTTTCACTTGATCACTAAATCATCATTACACTGTTCATATTATATTCTTTGTATTATATATTTGTAACACAAACACAAGCCTATTTAAATACGCTGGTCCCATTGCCATTCATCTATATTCATAGAATAGAAATACAGTGCTGGTCAACAAATAAGGCTGGTTTCTGAACATATGCACACACACACGCAGGCGACCTCAGTTCAGTCATCAGCAAACAAAAACGTGGGTCCACCGCGGCCGCTTTCTGGGGAAAATGTTAAAAACTGACCCACACTGGCAGCCAGCAGATAAGCCAGTTAGCTTTGATGTGTGCGCGTATTGAGAAAGTCTCATATTTCCAGGAAGCAGAGGGGATTTATTTGGACTAATGCTGCCTCTGGCTCAGCTAACCGCTGTTTGTTTGGCCACAGATGGCACTCACGGTATTGATGTTCAATAAAGGTTAGACAGCGGTGCATTATACTTACTTTATTTCTATGCTTATTGATGTTTTCATTTATTTAAGAGTGCAGGGATGATTCAGACGACTGCATAGAGGTTTCTAAACTGTCTGACTCCTTTTCATTATTAGCTGGCCGGTTCATCTGTTGAACTTTTTCCTCTTGAAATCATTGTTCAAAATGACAAGAGGTTTAAATAACACTTACAATGGATAAGTTTACCGTTATGTGCTAGTGAATGTATTATGCCAATAAGACTCCTCATATATATAGAGGAACATACACTGATCAGCCATAACATGTTATGCAGCCCCAGACCAACAGACTGTGTGTTCTGACCACCTTTCTATCAGAACCAGGCATTAACTGGTTTCTGCCGGTTATTGAGCTATAGTAGTTCTCTGTTGGATCGGGACCACACGGGCCAGCCTTCCGCTCCCCACGTCCATCAATGAGCCTTGGCCTCCATGACCTGTCCCGGTTCTTTTCCTTCCTTGGAAGCACTTTTGTTAGGTACTGGACCCCTGCAGACCGGGGAACACCCCACAAGAGCTGCTTGTTTAGAGATTGCTCTGATCCAGTCGTCTAGCCCCATCACAATTTCGCCGTTGTCAAAGTCGCTCAAATCGTCACGCTGCCCATTTTTCCTGCTTCTAACACACTCAACTTGAGGACAAAAATTACTTGCTGCCTGATATTTCCCCACTGACAGGAGGCCATGATAACCAGATAATCAGTTTGTTATTCACTGTCAGTGCTCATAATGTTATGGCTGATTGGTGTATGTTTTGTGTGTGTGGGATATTTTTGTGGATAATGAAATTGGCTAAATAGAGCTGAAACTGTTTTAATTTGTGGATTAATTGATTTGTAAATCAACAGAAAATAATTGGCAACTTTTTTGATAATTAATTAATACATTTTTCACTTGTTCTTCGAGCAAAAATGAAAAACATTTGTTGGTTTACAGCTGCTCAAATGTGAATATTTACTGCTTTTCTTTATCTTGCATCATTGAAAATTGAATATCTTATCTATATGGGTTTTGGAGTTATCCGAATTTAAAGGCGTCAACTCGGCAGATCATTTGATAAGGAAAACAATCGTTGGTAGCAGCCTTAAAGCTAATGAATACAGAGATTCAATAAATGTAGTGAAAGGAACATACAAGGAGACCAGAACATTTCTACAGCAGGCTAACAGAAAGGCTTTCTAGTTTGTCCATTGGAAGAAAATCCAGTAGCCAAAAGTGTCACTAGTCAGTGCAGTTACTGTATGTGCTGACGTCTCCCCTGTTTCAGGTATACGGTGCTGCCATTCAGTTCTACGAGAACTACCCGCCGGAGTGTCTGACCGATCAGCAGCGTTCCCAGCTGGGTCTCCTGAACCCGGATCCACACAAACCCTCTTCTTCCTCCTCCTCCTCTTCCTCCTCATCCTCCTCCAACACTACGCCGACGGCCACCAACAGCCCCACTAACAGCACCGCAACCCCACGCTTAGTCTACACCAACAAGTGTATCTGTCTGCTTTCCCACTGGCCCTTCTTTGACGCTTTCCGCAAGTTCCTCACATTCCTCTATCGCTACTCCATCTCCGGCCCTCACGCCCTGCCCATTGAGAAGTGAGCTAACTTTTTCTTATCTCTTAATTTCACCATTTTAGTTTTAAAAACAAATCTTCCTATTATTCATTTCCCATCATTCTTTGAGCACTTGCAAAGGTGGAAAAGTCACTGGTTCCCCAGGTGTTTTTCCCAAATTCTGTATTCTCATTTCCATTTTTTTTTTTTTTACTTTAACTTTAATTATTCTTTAACTTTAATTATTCTTAATACTACAATATTTTATATATCCTCTGTTCTGTTAAAATACTGCCTGATAGTTAGCTGATAATGTTCAAATAATTCTCTAATGCCTCATTTGGATGGAGTTAACAGAGTTAATAAAGTTTTCACTGTGCTTTAAAATGTATATTATTTCTATTATATTATATTAAAATTTAAGCATTTTAACCACTGGGGCATTACAGGATATGGTCTGTCATAGACATTGACATTCTGCATGGAAAACTCAAAAGAGAAAGTCAAGTCTAAGGGGGTGTGGAGGGTAGAGGTGTGTTGTAAAGACAAGCTCATGGCTGCGCTAGGTGAATTTGACGTCTATTGTGAATAAACCTCCATAAATCCGCATAGAAATCGTAGAAAAAAGACGCTACAGAACTTGCTTGAGACTCATGACTTTCTTAGGTTTTCCTTAAATAACAAAGTAATGCAGTGATAGTTATCTGTACATGGGTACAATGCAAACAGTAATTACTAATAGCTAATTTGGCATACCTTTAATGGTGCTAATTACCTGGTAATTGTGTAATTTTTACTGTTGACAGGATTAAAATCACTGACCAGTGCAGGTTATGTTAACATCACCACACCTCCCCCAGAGAAATAAATCCAGTCAGAACGGAGCTTAAGACAGATATAGTAGTTTTTCGTTGACAGAAGTGCAAATTTACTGTATGGTTTCAACCTTACTAAATCAAAGGAGATATCATCAGTATGCGGTGAGCATCTGTGGTGCTGACAGCAAAAACCTGATGTTTAAAGTCGATGCTGTAGTTAGAATGTTTTCCATCTGTACACCAGAAACATCCTGATGTTTGAGAAGTTATCCCTAACAAATAAAAAAAGTGGGTTCAGAAATACAAAATGCGTCACTAATACAGTTGCTTCAGGTTGGATATTTACATTCCCCCAGTCAGGTGATTGATGCTTTTCATGTTTTACTGCTGCTCATAACTCTTACCCATCTGAGCGGGGTGCACTGACTAGTCAGCCTCCAACTGCTGTTATTTTTGGCCTCACAACCCCCCTAATTCTTCTTCTTCTTCTTCCCAGGCACATCTCTCATTTTATGCACAAAGTTCCCTTCCCTTCCTCTCAGAGGCCTCGCATCCTGGTGCAGGTAAGTTTAAGTTTAGGTCACAAGAGTATAACATTCCCTCTGATGTTTGCTTGCATATGGTGCATGGTATAAATGGATAATTATTATTTTGCAGACAGTAGTGTTGTTTTCTGTAGGATTGCCTGTGGGCTGCAGTACTTTAAGTCCTCCATTATGGATGAATATTTGAATGATTCAGTGCAGGCGTTTTTTTGCTCGGTTGGTTTTATCTCACTTTCCAGCTTTTCTACAGCTTTCCCCTCACGACAGTTTGATGCTGAGCCAGCCAGTGTCTTCTCCTTTGCCACTCAGGTAAGAGCAGCTGCTTGCAAGCTTTTCTGGTGACGTCTGACTTTGTGCTAAAACACATTTTGTTGCTGATTGGCCCCAAAGATGCAGTATATGTATGCGCAGAACAAAACAGTTCAGATACCGGATTTCTTTCAACCTTGGAGAGCGTCTGATAAGTTGTAAGACTAGTATGCTGGCGTTTGTTTGATACATTTTTAATGAGAAAACATCAGTAGGTCATATTTTCTATATTATCAGTTTTGAGCTCGCTTGAAAATAAGAAAATACAGAGAAAGCCAGATTCAGAATATCAGATTCACATAAAAACAATCCAAAATGTGTTCAATCCCAGAGGAGGTTGAGAGACCAGGTTGTAGTTCCTTCCAGAAGAATTGGCAATATTGTGCATTGTTATTGAATTTTGCCCATTTGTGTTTTTTTCGCAGTGGTGGTCGATTTTCCACGCTGCTCCAAAACCTCGGACCAGAGAACGCCGTCACCTTGCTTGTGTTTGCTGTCACTGAACATAAGATCCTGGTCCACTCGTTACGACCCGCCGTACTCACCAGCGTCACTGAAGCTCTGGTGTCTGTAAGTTGCTGCCTTTAGCTGTATATAGTGATGACTTCAAGCTCTTCATGCTCTTGCCTGCTTTGCTTTTGCAAATATATTTATTTTTCTCTTATCACAAATAGTTATTCATGTGAAATATGGTTGTGATAGTTATCATCAGTTGTAGAAACAGAGAGCAAAAGTGGAAAGTATAAATTGTAAGAGAATACAGAAGAGTATCTTCAACCAGTCTCATTTATAGAAGTAGGAGGTTTCTTTTTATATTAAGCTCAACTGTACTTGTTTTTACGCCTTAGAAACATTTCTAATAAACCTGCAACATATAACGAGGGAGCCCTATCTTCCTTCTGAGCTGACTTTATCTTTCTCATCTTCCTCAGATGATTTTCCCGTTCCACTGGCCCTGCCCGTATATTCCTCTGTGCCCCCTGGCGTTGGCTGACGTATTGAGCGCCCCCTGTCCATTCATTGTAGGAGTGGACTCCCGCTACTTTGATCTTTATGACCCCCCACCAGATGTGAGCTGCGTGGACCTGGACACAAACACCATCTTTCAGTGAGCACAGTACCCAGAAACCTTCCCATTGATCTGTCTTCACATCTCTGTTGCCTTCTCATGATGAATGTTGTACAGCATTGTGTGTAGGATAAACCATAGCGCAGGAAGCCACACATAAGAGAGCTCAACATTGTTTCCTTTGCTGCATCTGTTTTTCCCAGACCACATAACTGCCAGGTCATGAGTTCTAAGTTTAGAGACCAGGCCATTTTCCTGGAGCCTGGGTGGAAATGGTTATTTTTGTAGTGTCAGACTCTTTTAATATGAAGAGAATGCATTTTTTAGGTAAGGTCGGTAATGGTTCACATCATCTCTGGACTCATTACCCGTCAGACGGCGTTAGGGTGGTCTGGACTCCCCTAGCCCGACCGCTGTCGATGTTGGTTTTGGCCTCTCAGCCTCCCCAGAGCTCAGTGTATGTATGCTTCTGCTTTTCCAGCAATGAAGATAAGCGAGCCCTCACATGGAAGATCCTGCCAAAGAAAGCCTGTAAAAACCTAATGAATGTGCTGAGTAATCTCTACCAGCAGCTGGTTGACGGTGAGTACTGAGCTGATGAATGATCTGGTTGAACAAATTATTGTAAAAATGTGTCAGTTGTTTGATTTGGTTGTATTCATTTCAACCCTGCATGTATCGCAAAGTACACTTTCAGCAAACTTTTCCATTTTGTGGTTCTTTTCATTTTGTGTTCAGTTGAAAGTTTCTCAGTTTCAAAAAGTCATATAATTCATTCAAACCCATATAGAATATCTAATCTTCTTAGACTATATTAGAACCTTCAGAAATCAAAAATAAAAGAAAATCTGTGGCTAATTAAGGTCCTCACAGAGTGTTTTATGCTCCATTCATCATCTTTAGCTTTGGATTCTGTTGTCTTAAGAACTTGTTCTCTATTCAGTGTATACAGTTCTGCTCTCCATTCAACTAACTGAAAGCCAGCAATAATCCCATTATTGCATAATTTCCTAATTAGCCATCTGTCCTACTGTGGTTCTCATTGTATTATTGTCAACTTTCTCTGCTTATCGTGGAGCACGCTCACTGAGAGACCATGAAACCTGCTGCTTATTGAGCTGTAGAAATTGAATTAATGAATTTTCTGATTCAGTGAAGTTGAAAATCTTCCCAGTTTCTGCCAGAATTGCTGAATATTGATACGCCTGCCAGAGGTTTTAGTTGAGACATTTATGCCTTGTGGACCTTCAGAAACTCTGATATCAACTTGAGTCTATTTTTCCCTACTTATGTAAGCCTAATCCTCATATGCAATAAGAATACGCTCTTAAAGACTTAAAGCAGTACACTGGCATAAGAGCTTTAAAAATTATATTCTTTTAACTTCATCAAAATACAAACGGTGCAACATTTTCAAAGTGATGATTCAACCTTTACGTTGACATGAACGTTAAGATTCTAATACAGTATTTAGTGACAGTTTTTTGTTTGCCTTCAGGTCAGTTCCGGCCTGATGGGCTGCTGGAGCTGAGCATGAGTGATTCGTCGGAGCTGAGCTGTGGGAAGAGCCTCCACATGCTGGAGCTGGAGATCCAGGAAGCCTTCCTGCGCTTCATGGCAGCCATTTTGAAAGGCTACCGTTCGTTCCTGCGACCCATCACCCAGGCACCCTCTGAGAAAGCCACAGACGCCAGCTCACTTTTTGACTTGCAAGGTATCTGGAATAATCACCCTGACCACTTCAAGCCAAAAGCCTGAAACCATTTATCCATGTGCAGAGTTTTAGAGCCGCCAGGTCACAGAGGAAACAGGGTGAACGGATGAACCCCAGCTGTCCTTTTCCCCGGCAGCTTTCTCAAACTCCTCACACGAAAACACACAAAACAGTTACACAGAACTATTGACAGTATCATGAGCCAGTTTTTTTCTCTCTGAAAGAAATGTATCTGATGGTTCCCACCAAAGTGTTTACTGATCACAGATGGTTTAAGCTTAGTTTTCTTAATTCCAGTAATCTGAAAGAAGGTTTCCATAATGCACAAGACCAGCTAGTCCACCACGAACCCCTAACAAGGATGGAGCTGATTGTGCGCCTGGAAGAATTATTGGTTTACTGTGCTTTCTTGTGAGTAAACACTAGAAAGCACATAATTACTGGACTTTTTAGAGGGCAGGCAAGTCACCCACCATGATTCAGAAGCGTATAGACACTTTTGTATATAGTCATTTAAACAGAATATAATCAGAAGGAGTTTTGGCATGTTTTGACAGGTGTCCTTTTGAGGAGCAGATTGTTAAATTATTATAAAAGCTAGTAAATTAATCTTAAGTATTTTGTCAGACTATTATTCTCAAGGTCAAGAATATACTTTCATCTTCAAGGATTGTAAAACGTTGAAGCCGAATGGAATGAGATTTCTTTTTGATTTATTCTTTAAATTGGCCATTTTTTTACTCTGATGGAGCTATTTTTCTGACTATTACTGAGTTTCCAACCCAGCCCGAGATCTTTGAAAAAAACCCTGAAGTCATTGCTTCCAGCTTTTTCTGCAAACATCTGGAAATCACTTAGGGGCGACACTGCATGTGCAGTCAGTTTCTTAGACCATGTCTCCGCCAAGGTCCGTGGGACCAGAACCATGCTGATATTTATTTAAATCATCCAATGAGGGACTGATTTAATCGATAAAACTCTGAGAGAGAGAGACAGATTGAGTTCTGTGTGATTGAGAACCAACTGGGAACTGCATGTTTTAGCACATTGACCATTAGTTGTAAACTGTTGGTTGGAGCTATATGGTCAGATCAGAATGTCTGTCATCCAAAAAAGTTGAGTTTGCTCCACCTTTCCATCATTATTCAGCCTTCAGCCAAGAATGTGAAGCCAGTTGTCACAGTTGTACAGTTGTATGATTAGCGCTAATGAGTCTGTGAATATATAAACTAACACTGCGTCATCTGTAGCACCTTCCTCTATACAGCTGGCCAGCCTCAAAAACAGATGGCGTTGTTTAATACATGAGCTTTCATAAGTGTCCATCTCCACCTCTTGAGTAAATACACACAGAAACTGTTTGGGTGGGGTTTGAGAGGATGCTGGAGTTGGAGGTTCAAGGCTGTTTGCAGGCCGAAGGTCAGTCAGTTAGCAGCACAGCTGCTAAATGGTCCGGAGGCTTGAGTGTGGCCTCTGGATCAGAGCCCATAAAAGCTGGTTCACATCACAGCTGAAATGAGTTAGGGTGAAATCATTGTTGCTCCGCTGTAGCCAAGGTCGTGTCCAGTGTGAGTTATATGATATGGCGAACGGGAATGGCTGCAGTACATTACATAATAACTCGAGGAAAGATGTTACAACTCGTGTATCATGTGTATGAACTCTTGAACGTTTTCAGACGTATCATCCATAGCAACAAAAATATGTTTGCATGTATGGACTGTATTTTATGTTACCCTGCTGTCTCCTAAAAATAACAATTTCCGTTATATTTTCATTATATCATTATAGCGCTTTCAGTCCAACATCTGTGACTTTTACAGTATTTCATACAGATTGTATCTGCATTTCCTTTTCCTCAGAATATCAGACAGATGATGAACAAACGTATCTTAATATGTCTGTTGGACAGTTTAAACCTTGCACATGCATTCAGAAATTTACAGACTTATTGTCCATATTGGCTTAAAAGTTGAGTTTCACAGTTCAATCTTTTTAAAACAGCTGAGAAAACAATTTCACTTCAAGGTCCATTTAGTAGCTGTTCTGGAGTTATGTGCGCTGGGTAAACTCCCTCTGGTGATTATATTATATGATAAAAAGCTCCAGAACAGCTACTAAATGGACCTTGAGGTGAGATGGTTCTGTCAGTTAGTAATAATGTGTACTCGTCAGTACTCTTGTGTTTTATCATCGTACTTTATTCCATATTAATGTCAATTTATTCTACTTGCTTTATTACAGTCCGTGTAACTGTTTTAAAAAACATGCAGTAGGTCCTTTTGGGTCGATGTTCGGAGGTTTTAATGTTTTTGGTTTCCTTCATATTTTTAACAGGGTGTCTGTGGGCTTTAAAAAAGGCTAAAATCCAATAATCAGAATTTTATGCCTAAAAATGTCTTGAATAGGATTTCAGGTCTTAAAAGTGGATTGGATTGGAGCTGAATGAAGTTAAGGTTACTTGTATAAAGTTGCTTTTTTCAGTCTGCTTATAAATGTGTTTTGGGGAAAAAAATGTATTGATCTCGCTGTAACAACTACAAAACGAAACCGACACGGAACTGACTTTCTTTCATATCCTTTGTACTTTTTTTTGCTGGTTTGGACATAAAATCTGTCATAAATTGCATTCATAAAGGTCTTAAAAAGGTCTTATAAAGAATTTAATCTAATTTAAGCTGTTGAATCCTGCAGAAACCCTGAGTTAGTCACAAAATCTGGTACAAATTGTCGCACATATTGACTGTTTGATATCACTGTAAGTTGAATAGACTGTCTCTGATGTAAAGAAAAGCCAACCAACAAATGTAGGAGAAATGTCTTGAATCTTGATGAGTATTTGATTGTTGAATGAGTAATCAGCTAATCATTAATCAACAGGAGTGTTCAGAGGCCTTTAGAGGACTCTACTGCTCACAGTGTGAAAATACCTGGCTAGTGAAGCTGCTGAGAGGAGTTTTGGTTCAGAATCAATTGATGGTCCAGGTTGCAAGCAGCCAGTGTTGAGATTAAAATATTTATCATCTGTAGGAAGTGTTTTGCTTCCACCTCTGTGCTGTGAGCCAGTGGCCATCCATCCTGCTGCCAGTCTCACAACAGCAGTGGCTTATTAGTCAGTTAAGCTGCTTTCAGCATCTATTAAGGAAGCTATCCACCACGTTGTTGTACAGCCCAAACTGGCCATTACACTAATAACATTGTGTTGGCTTGCATTATCCAAACCAAGACAAATGGAAGATGTGTGTGTGTGTGTACATAGAGAGATGGGATAATGGATTTTTTAACCACAAAGTCACACACCTTTTGGAGCAAGACTGTAAATTGCTCTTGTGAATCCTTGAACCTCCTTTCAGTAGATACAATTAGTTGAGCTATGTAGATAAACACGCTGCTGTATCTTAAATTATCATTAGCTGTGTTTACCGGGAGCCGAATATTCTGATTATGATCAAAATAAAAAGAGCCATATTATATAAATATCAGCCAAAACTGATATTTATATAATTTCCATAGGTTGCAGATGGGTAGTTTACGGGTAACCTGAATACTTTCTGGTTGCAAGTTTTATTTTTGATACAAACTCTGTAAGAATCAAGTGTTATTGGACACATAAGAAAAAATGACCTATTCAAACAGCAAACTATAACAAATTATGCTCAGCTCTTCTCAGTTTATATAGCACCTTTTATATTAACATGCAGGCGTCAGATCCACTGATATCAGTTAACTCCATATCTATATGTCTAAACACAACTTGAGTTATTGCAAATGTATTATTTTGGACCTTAAAGTCCGTATGTACCTTTTTTACCTCTTTTCTCAGTGACTGGAACCAGTTCATGTACATGTGTTACTTTCTGATCACTGCACGTGTTTTTAAACCTACTTCTCTGGAACACAGTACTTGAATCTCTGTTGTGTACATACTTATATATTGTGCTGTTTTAACTCTGTTTTAACTGTAATGTTTTTGCATTAGCAATGTATGCTTTCCTCCTGTTGCTGCCTCATGTTCTCAATTGACTTATCTGGTTAAATAAAAGTAAAATAAACACACATAAACTCATAAAAACAAAAATGAACAACTATAAACACATTTTTTTAAGGCTAGAAATTAATACAATAGAAATAATAAAATGTCACACATCTGTTAGTTTGAATTAGATCACATACCATGTGAACATTCACCAGAAATCTCCAATTGGGATGATTTTAATCATCATTCCTCACATTATTCAAGAAAATGAGTCTCAGCAACATAAGATTATTATAATTTGTAAAAACTAACCTAAACGTTTATGTCCTCAGGGTTCTTGAAGAGCCGCGACCGCTCACACCAGAAGTTCTACTCACTAATGACCAAAACACAGATGTTCATCCGCTTCATTGAGGAATGCTCCTTTGTCAGCGATAAAGACGCCAGTCTGGCCTTCTTTGATGACTGTGTGGACAAAGTAAGTCTTGTATTTCATCATTATATAAACATACAGTTTAGGTATGTATTTTGATGCAGTGGAATTAAACTTCTCTTTTTGCTCCACTCATACTAGTATTAGTAGTTTCCAGTGTCCTGTATTACTTCACCTGTCTTCAATCACACCTGTGTCTCTCCTTTCCTCTTCTAATTTCATGAGTTTGTCTTTTATCTTTCCCTTTCTGCCTCTGTGTGCGAGCAGCTCTACAATTCAGAGCGGGGTGCAGACAAAGGAGGAAAGGTAAGTCTAATAGTATTTGGTCTCAATTCCTACTGGTTCTGGGTACATTGTGTTTTCAGATGGGGGATTTGTGCATGGTCCCAGCAAACAACACAGCGAACAATATTTGTCTGCTAGACTCATAGAATCAAGTAGCTGCAGCTTTAGTTTGAGCTTTCATGTTATTTTCCCGCATGTGTAATTTAAATGACTTCCTTATCATCCAAACTCTGTCACCTTCCCAGAATATTTCCATTATATTAGTGAATATTGGAATATTCAATGTCCACATGCACAGTTTTCTGGAAAGATTTCTACCCTAAATTTTTCATGACTCAAGTGAGTAAGGGCTTTTAGTGCCTCAGTGATTTCTGAAGCACTAACAGAGCTTGAAGGTTTTATTTTTTTACATCCACTGGTCTCATATTCTTCAGTGTGACAATATCAAGAGATTGAAGAGGCTGAAAGTGTATCTTCTGTACTCCACTGGGAGCGTTTTGGAGTAGTCTGACCCGTGTGCCAACAGGGCTGTGTTACTCTATCAAACTGTGTTTGTATGTTGAAGGTTAAATTTTGTGTCCAGGCAGTCACTCGCTTCCCCGCTCACGTCTGTGGGTCACTGGTTTTTGCAGGTGACATTTGTAACAGACTCTGAAATAGACTTGTCCTTGGATTTACTTGTGTGTGTGTTCTGTCGGTTATGGAGACATAGTGGAAGTGGATCCAGAGGCCAGCATCCACAGCCTCCCCTCCCTGTGCTCCCAGGCCCACTGCATGGGGCCCAGGTCTCCTCGTCCTTCCTGTGTGTCAGCTCCACGGGCGATTAAATTCTCCGACTGTCTTTCTGCTCTGTGACTGGATTACATTATCTACTCTCTAGGAGAGAAAGCGCACCGCTCCACTCAGACCACACACATACATTACACTGACTCTACCACACACAAACACACGCGCAGCAGTCACATACAGAAAGATAAGGTTAAAATGTATTGATCCCAGAGGGAAAGTAGTAGCAGCAACAAAACTAATTAAATCCTGCAGGGGAACAAGACAAAAGACAAACTAATCATACAAATTAGATATAATTACATCAATTAAAAGCTGCATAAAAACAAACAGTAAAGGCAAAATTGAAACAAATTAAATAGAAACAATTGTGGGAAGTAAATCAAACCCACAATTTCAAGGGTCAATTGGTAATTTCTTTAACATACAAATTACAGGTATATTTAGCCATATTTTGGGATCCACTAACTGGTATTTGGAGTTAGGGAGTGTACATTAAAGGGAGTCGTACTTTCTAAAATTTCTTATCAGCAGTTGGATTGGAAGATTGATACCATTCTCATGTCTCTAGGGCAAATATGTAGCTGCAGCTGGGTAGCTTAGCTTAGCATAAAGATTGGAAACACCTATCCTGGCTCTTTGCAAACGGAACAAAATCTCTCTTGTTTTATCTTCCCCCAAAAATGACACGTTCTGGTTGTACATCAGGGGTTATGTGCTGGAATCTTCCTTGGCTGGGAATAACAAAGTCCTGCAGCTATAGAGGTGATGGTTTGTGGATGGTTGGTCTAACTATTCCTTAAAGGACCAGTGTGTAGGAGTTAGTGGCATTTAGTGGTGGAATTGCAGATTTAATCTACATCCAGTGTTTGGTTTGTCTGCTCTGGGCTGCTGAAACATGGCGGTTCAACATGGCCGACTCTGTATAAAAGGACCTGCTCTCGCTGTAGATAAAACCAGCTCATCCTAAGGTAACAAAAACCACAATAACTCTTATTTTCAAGTGATTACACACTAATAAAAACCTACTTATGACAATTTATTCCAATATATGCTCCTAAATGTTACACACCTTCAGTCAGTAGATGTTTTGAATCAGAATCAGAAATACTTTAATAATCCCAGGGGGAAATTACTTTCGTTACAAACTCCAGATATACATACAACAT